AGAAGGCGTAGGTTTAAGGTGAGAGGGGAAAGATTTAAAAGGGACCTGAGGGATGACATTTTCAAGCAGTGGGTGGTGCGTGCACTGCCAGAGGAAGTGGTGGAGGCTGGTACAATTACAACACTTAAGGCCTTTGGATAGGTATATGAATAGGAGAAGGGACTTAGGGGATGTGTGCCAAATGCTGGCAAATGGGACTAGATTTATTTAGGATATCTGGTGGACATTAAGTTGCTATTAAAAAGGAAGAGGTGTTGTGCAGCTTAAAAATTATTAAGGTAGGTAAGTCCCAGGATTCTAATGTAATCTATTCCAGAATATTAAGGGAGATAAGAGAATGAATTGCTGGAGCATTAACAGACATTTTTGCATCCTCTGGCCACAGGTGACATCCCAGAGGACTGGAAAATAACCAATGTTGCCTCACTGTTTAAGAAGAGTAGCAGGGATAATCCAGGAAATTGCAAGCCTGTGAATCTCTCATCAGTGGTAGCGAAATTATTGGAAAAGAATCCATGGGACAAGATCTATACGCATTTAGAAACAAATGGACTTAGCGATAGACAGTATAGTTTTGGAAGGTTGTGTCTCATTAACTTGATCGAGTTTTTTGAGGTGGTGACGAAGATGGAATTAGGGTAAAGTAGTTGTTGTCTACATGGACTTCAGTAAAGCCTTTGACAAGGTCCTCATGGCAGACTAGTACAAAAGATGAAGTCACATGGTATCAGAGGTGAGCTGGCAAGACTGATGCAGAACTGGCTTAGTTATAGAATCGAGGACGTAGCGGTGGAAGGATGCTTTTCGGAATGGAGGGTTGTGACTAGTGTTCCACAGGTATCAGAACTGATACCTCTTCATGACCTACGTAATGAGTTGGAGGAAAACTTTGTCTAATTCGTAAGTTTGCCGACGATACAAAGATTGGTGGAGTTGCAGATAGTGAGGAGGATTGTCGGAGGATACAACAGGATGTAGGTCAGTTGGAGGCATGGGCCGAAAAATGGCAGATGAAGTTTATTCTGGATAAATGTGAAGTGATGCATTTTGGAAGTTCAAGAACATGTGGAAATTATACAGTGAATGGCAAGACCCTTAGGAGTATTGATGTGCAGAGGGATCTGGGTGTGCAGGTCCACAGATCCCTGGAAGTGGCAGTGCAGGTAGATAAGGTGGCTTTAAATAAAAAAGGGTCTATGTTATGCTTGTCTTCATTGGAAGGAGCATTGAGTACAAGTTATGCTGCAGCTTTAAAGAACTTCAGTTAGGCCACACATAGAATATTGTGCACAGTTCTGATCATCACACTACCAGAAGGAAGTGGTTGCTTTGGAGAGGGTACAGAAAAGGTTTACCAGGATGTTGCCTATTACGGGGTATTTTAGCTGTGAAGAAAATTTGGCTAGACTGGGTTTGTTTTCACTAGAACGTAGGAGATTGAGGGGCAACCTGACAAAGTTCAAAAGATTGTCAATGGCATGGATAGTGAGGAGAGTATGAGGCTTTTTCCCAGGGTAGAGGGGTCAATTACTAGGGGACACAGGTTCAAGGTTGTTGGGAGCGGGGAGGGGTGGAGTTTAAAAGATGTGTGAGGCAAGTTTCTCAACGGGCGGTGAGTGCCTGGAACGTGCTGCCACAGGAGGTGGTGGAAGCAGACACAATAGCAGCATTCAAGAAGCACCTGGACAAATAGATGAGTAGGAAGGGAATAGAGGGATAAGGAATCCTGTAAGTGAAGACAGTTTTAGTGTGGAAGGGCAAAATGTGTTAGCTCAGGCTTGGAGGCTCATAGAGCCTGTTCCTGTGCTGCTGCTGTTCTTTGTTTTTTGGCATGGGCGAGCTTGAGCAAAGGATCTATTTCCATGTTGTACAGCTCTGACACTGTCTCTCTGTGTTGGAAATCAGAAACAAACCAGAAATTGCTGGAAAAGCTCAAGAGGTCTGGCAGCATCTGTGGTGAGAAAGCAGAGTTAACGTTTTCAGGTCCAGCGACCCTTCTGTTCTGAAATACATGCAACGAGTTTGGAAACGTTAATTTGCAAACATTAATCTATGTTCAATAGTTAATTTTTCAACTTGATAATTGAGAATGAATAAATTTTTTTTTTTCTTTTTCTGTTGGGCATAATCAAGTAAATGGAGTTAAGAAACAGATCAGCCATGATGCCAGTCTCGACAAGCTAAGTGACCTATTCATATTCCTGTGTTGTGTAGTATTGGAAACATGAGAAAACCTAAAGGAAAAGTACAGTGAGGGATAGGCAGCCAATGCATCTGCATCTATAAGGTCAGACCACAGGGTAGCACCTCGAGCATAGACCCATGTTGTGTAATGTGTTTTTGGTTTCCTACAACTCTGCAGATTTTAAAAGTAACAACCTTTTTTATTAACCAACTGTGTATATGTTAACCTTCAAATGAAACGTTAAGATTTTGCGCACTTGGTGTTCTACGTTCATGATACAAAATGATCTGCTTATATGATGCGGGGATTGTCTTAAATCAGCTTTGCTTTGTAAAGCTGTAGTAATCTATATGGGTAGCCTACATAGGAATAAGAATGTAGATGTTTTCAAACAGATATAAATTCATCTTTGTTTCCCCTTTTTTTTTTTGAAAAGATAGTCTTTTGTATTCAAAATATTTGCTGATTCCCTTTTTCACTTCGAGGGATCAATAACCAGGGGATCTATATGTAAGGTAAAGTACTGGGTTTAGAGGGGATTTGAGGAAGACTGTTCTCACTGAGGAAAGCGGGGATCTGGAACTCTCTGCCTGCCAGGGTGGTAGGGACAGAAACCTTCATGACATTTAAGAAGCATTTGGAGGCACACTTGGAGTGTCAAGTGTGGAAAAAAGGAATTAGAATGGTTAGGTTTTAACCACAAGACCCAATGGGCCTTGTTGTATAGACCGTTATGACCCTAATCAGGTAATCAAGTTAATGTTTCATTGACTAACCTAATAGTCAATTCATTTGGGACTTATGAATTGTCAGAAGTCAATCTGACCTGAAGTCCAGTCTTGAGTTCTGAATGCTCTTGGGGAAAAAAAGGGAAAAAAAAAGGGAATATTAACTATCATGTTAAAAAAATCCAGTATTTTGATTCTAAAGAGCAACATTTGTATCTTCCTTCATTTTGACTTTCAACTGTAACATTGGATAATCAAGAATGCTATTAAGGATGGTTGACTGCAAGGATGCTAGCTAAAAACAACAAACTTTTTTGCCTCTTACTCAACATGCTTTGTGGAAATCTGCTATGATGACATAAAAAATGCTGTCATTGAACGGCACTGAGGTTAAAAATGTTTTGTGTAGCCAACCCATGTCAAGTCATTATTGCCTGATTTGTGACTAACACTTTGTATTCATGTTGGTAGTTGCAAGTCTGTGCTAGTGAGGATACATCAAGGCAATGTATGACACATCCTACAAAAACATTACTTTTAAGTGTACTCTCTTCCCACTACAGTATCACCAGCAAAATACTTGCATTTATATAGTGCATTTCACAACCACCGAGGTACAGGCAAGGTGAGAATTGAGGCAGGCAGTCGACATAACCACTAAGAGGAGCGGGCAAGGTGAGGACCCTTGCAGAGAAGCAGAAAGACTGGAACTGGACCTGAGTGGGAGTTGCGACATAAGAATCAGATTTTTTTTTTTTAAGTTTATACGTAAGTAGAGTTAAGGTAAACTAAAAATAGAGGATCCGGGTTAAATTCAGTTTCAGTATGTCTGGGGAGCTTGAGATGTGATTTTAAACATCATGAACTATCTGGGAGATCTTAGCTGCTCATTGCAGTTTGCCCATGTGTATGGGGAGGTACATCTGGCATGAGCGACTGAATGACAACTGAATACTACAGTCTGTTATCAAGGCTGAAAGATTCCTGACAAGAACATTTCAGGACCTGGTCACCTTGCAGTTTAAGGAAGTGTACAGGCAGAAAGGGAATGGGTGACTGCCAGACAAATGAAAGAGACCAGTTAGGTCATTAGTGAATCCTGAGTGCATCTTGATGGCAAATCACTTTTCAGTCTTTGAAAACAGAGTGACAGTTCATCTGTTGAAGCCAACCAGAACCAAGGCAAAGGCACTGAGTAGGAGGGATCAAAATAGCTAAATTGCATCTAGCAGAACATTTTATAGCCCGAATGTGGAAAGCCCAACAATGGAAAATGAGCCTGGGCAGGTAGAAGGCTTATCAATAAGTGAACATTTTGGAGATGGTCAACATTAAATCTGTTTTTTTAAGACAGTTGTGAAAAAAAAATGGACTAGTGATAAAAATTCTAAACTTGGGAAGGGCTAATTTTACTGGAAGATTTGGCCCAAGTGGACTGAGTGTAGCAATTTGCAGAGAAAACTGTCTGAGCAGTGGGAGGCATTTAAGGAAAAAAATGAGTTCAGGGCAAATATATTCCCATAAAGACAAAGAGTTGGACCAAGACTGGAAAACCCTGACTGTCAAGTGACAAAGAGTAGAATTAAG